TTTCCTTTAGTCCGACACCACGTTGTTGACCCTCAAGACTCGCGCCTTGACTAAGCTCCAACCCATCGTTGTTGACCATAGTACTTTGCCTATAGTCCGACCCCTTGTTGTTGACCCTCAAGATTCATTTCTTGACTTAACCCCTACCCCTCGTTATTGATAATTTAAAACGTTGCCTTTAGTCCGACCCCACGTTGTTGACCCTCAGGAATCATGTGTCTTGACTTTCCCCCAACCTCTCGTTGTTGACCGTTTATATAACTGTGCCTTTTATCCTTTTTCACGTTGTTGACCCTCAGAACACATGTCTTGACTTCGATCCGTCCCCTCTGCGTGACACTTTAGAATTTGACCTTCAATCCAACCCCATGTTGTTGACCCTATTGACAAAGCTCCGACCCCTCGTTGTTGACCATTTATGATTTTTTCTTTTAGTCCAACCCCATGTTGTTGACCCTCAGGACTCATGTCTTGACTTTGGTCTGCCCCCTCTGGTTGACCCTTTAGAATTTTACCTTTAGTCCACCCTTAGTCCATCCCATGTTGTTGACCCTCAAGATTCATGTCTTGACTTAACCCCTACCCCTCATTATTGATAATTTATAACTCTGCCTTTAGTCCGACCCCACGTTGTTGACCCTCAGGAGGACTCATGTCTTGACTTAGCCTCTATCCCTCGTTGTTGACCGTTTATAAATTTACCTTTAGTCCAACCCCACGTTGTTGACCCCCAGGACTCATGTCTTGACTTACCTCCAACTCCTTATGTTGATTATTTAGTCCGACCCCACGTTGTTGACCCTCGATGCCTTGTTATTGACCATTTATAAATTTAACTTTAGTCCTATCCCTCGTTGTTGACCCTCAGGACTCGTGTCCTGACTTCAGTCCGACCCTGCTTGGTGACCTTTTAGAAATTTACAGTTTGTCCTACCCCATGTTGTTGACCCTTTATTAATTATTCATGTCTTGAATTAACTCCAACCTCTCGTTGTTGACTCTTAGGCCTCATATAATGACTTACATCTGACCGCTTATTGTTGACCCCTCAGAACACTTTTTAGTTTGTCTGAGGGAGAAGTTTCAGTGACAGCGGCATGATTGAAGGTGTAAAAAGGTTGTCTGAACTGTCATTGATATTATTATGTACTAGGTTTGTCAGTTTACCTGGGTTTTTTTTTTTTACTTTTCAGAACTGTGCAAAGAGCTCCTTTTGTGCTGGCAGCAGAAAAATATGTTTAATAAATTTACTGTGTGGAATTTATCTTACTAGTTTTTGTTTGTATTATTGGCTAGGTATTCATGTTCGTTCCTCTTTTTATCATGAGTGATTGGAGAGCGCCCCTAGAAGTAGGTCCTAAGAACAAAACTGAATCGAGAGTGCCGTAAACCACCTACTCAAACAAACAAACAAATAGTAGGTCCAACTTCTTTCCTTTCCTTCTGTCATTTCTTTCTGTCTGTCTTACTTTTTCTCTCATCTGAATGGAAGTTATTTTGTTTGAAAAGTCCCTTTTCATGATCATTTTCATTGCCATCATCAGACGTTACTTGGATGTTTTTTAAAACTCTTTATCTCTTCTTGGTTATTCCCAATTAATAACACCGTATGTCAAAAGTAATTGCTCATTTTTAAATGCATGTTGTGCCTCAGGGTCATATTATATTATATATATTATATATAGGTCTTCCACTTTGTCTTGTGCTTTCTTTTTATTCATGTACCAGAGTCGCGTGTAGAAGTTAGGCTCTTTGCCTTGGCACTCAGTAGACTTGAGTTTGATTTTTGAATGGAAAGAGTTTTTTTTTTAAATCTTGTATCTTAGTCTGTGTGCTGGGATACTGTATTCCTCTGTGTCCTCTTTGGCCATGATTGATAGGCAAGACAAGCACAGCCTGCCTCATAAATGATCAATATCAAGTAGATGGGAGTGTTGAACATTAACATTTACTAGATATAAAGTGTCTTTGCTGTAGCGATACGGTATTCTGCTATGGCACACACTCTTTCTCTCTTTGTCTGTCTGTCTCTCTGTCTGTCTGTCTCTCTGTCTGTCTGTCTCTCTGTCTGTATGTCTGTCACTGTGTCTCTCCTTCCCTCTCTGTATCACTCTCTCTCACACACACTCCCTCCCCCCCCCCCCCCTTTCTCTCACCCCCACATACACACACACACATACGTACACATTCACACACATTCGCACGCGCACACACACGCGCACACACACGCGCACACACACACACACACACACACACACACTCATGCTGAATCATACTTCACTGTGACACTCAAAGTGCGGACTGCGAGTGTTGATTTTTTTTGGGTTTTTTTTG